CAATGACCCAACTAAGAGCCAATGCCTCCCCCTTGGACTCTACTACCTGTCCTTCCGAAGAACGAGGTCCCATCTTTGCTTCTCACGCTTCGACCTCTTTTCCCTTTAGTTGGCAGCTAGTTTTAGGATCATAACAATATCATCCTACAATCCAGCTTTTGTCACCCGTGAGTATGTCGAACACATTATTTGAGTCACCTCCGTTAAATCTTTACAACCATTTCACGACACCAATCAACATGACGAAGTTTCTGGGCCTCTGTCAAATTATGAGGTATCCGCCGGGCACAAAGCTTCCCGCTAAATGTTCATGGAGAATTTAGTGCACTTGACTCATACCAATGTCTAAGCTTGTCCGAGTCTGCTGATAAGTTACTCTTTTGTCAGTCTCCATCATTCGCTGTACAACACTGATATTATCTTCAGTCGTCGCTGTAGAAAGCCGTCCGTCACGCAGATAATCGGTGAGATTAGTGCGACCACGTTTGAGCACATTTAACCAGTTGTTAACAGTGGCACGATATGGGGTTTCATTCTGAAAGGCCAATTGAAGTTCATCATAACATTCTTGTTGACTTAAATGACATTGAAAATCATAAAAAATCATTGTACGAAATTTTTCTTGCGTTAAATTCATGCTGACGTGACACAGACATTTTTCAAATTGCACCCAAATCGCAAACAAATGAGAATTTAAAATAATACATACAAGATAATATTGGCAAAGTTATTTTTTTACTAAATCGTTTACAAGTGGCCACTTCTAAAAACTTTCAGTGTCGCCCTCGTAGTTAACGTAATGTTTATACGTCGGTATACAACATGTAACAAAAACCCTTTGCTTTCCGTTATGTGTGTTTTTTTGCGGAAAATGAAATGAAAAAAGAAAAAAATTTTTATTTACAAATTGTATGTGGTTTTATTATCTCAAATTGACACGAACATCAGTAAAGCTTTGACATTCCTCTTACTCCCCGGACAATGCGGAGGTAATAAAACCACAAAAAATTTGCAAATATTTTTTTTATGAAAATTAAACTTATTGTGGTCGAGTTATCTTAAAAAAGTTATTTCTTTACGTTTAAATACTGAATAAAATAATGCACTTAACGGGAACCACCGGTTTTTTTGTTACGAGTTATATAAGGAATGTCGGTTTTTCACTAGATGTACTGACGACCCGATATTACAACATGCATACATGTCTAAATACGTCAGTTGCTAAGGACTATGATATGTGGCAGTCTTTATGCGATGCACAATATTTATGTTTTTTCATTTACTTTTTTATATGCTACAACAGCAAAAACTTCCTATAAGGTTTACTTCAGATAAATTTCTTCTTTTATTTTTACACAAGTTTTTTTGTTTTCATTATATATATTCAACCATAGCCTTCCCAAAGTAGTAAATAGACTTGAGCTGAAAGCAAATAATACGTAATTTTATACATTTAAATGTATAACAAATATATTTAAGTATGTAGTTTGGCTACATTGAAATATTTATTATTATTTATCCTTTAACAAGTAGCGTAGTTGTGATTGTCCAAAGATAGGATAATTTTTCTTAACAATACATCATGCAAATTAAAGGTTTTTAAATATTTGCACAGTTGTTTTGTTTCAATACGAAAATTAATAAATTTATAAAAATATAAAAGTCATTGTTTTGCGAAATTATAAAATTGAAAGTTGTATCTGATACATTTCTTGCATTTTGTTATCCTCAAGACATTCTACTTTTTATACTTGATTTGATACTTGATCAATAGTTGAATCAGGAGAGCAGTACAAAATGTTTTCAATTAGCTGTAACATACATTATTATATTTTTAATAACTATGATTTATTTTGGATACTTACGTCTATTTTTTAATTATTGTTTATGGTCCGATCTATGCAAAATGAACTGACTGTGTCCCGAGGTCTCGCAGTAGTATGCTTGAGTTTAGTGTTTATTTCATTGATTATAGGGTCCCAAGCAGGTGGTATACCCAGCCTCCTTCTCTATTGAAATTAGGATGTTTTTTTTTATTTCAATAGCCTCACGTATCATCCCTGGTATGAATCGGAGTTCTTTCGAGAGGATTTGTGGTCTATCAAATCTGATGTAATGGTTGGGGCCGTCTAGGATATGATCACAAACTGCAGACTTTCCGGAACGTTGATGCTTCACATCAGCTATATGTTCTTTTACGCGGATTCTAATTGATCTTTTTGTTTGTACTATATAAGAGAGACCACATTTACAATCAAGCTTCTACACTCCTGCATCTTGTAGAGGAATATGACACTTGACGCATGGTAGGAACTGACTAATCTTCTTCGGCGGCTTGCAGAATGTTCTAATAGAAGCTCGCTTCAAGATGTAGCTAACCTTGTCTGTGACACGCTCCACTGTGGCCGGCTTCACTCCGTCACTGTGACGTAGGCGCGGGACCCGAAGCTTGTTGTCGTGCACAACTTGCTTGACGTGCTGAGGCTCGGCGGCCAGGTGTTTGCTGTCACAGTTTGCGTAAATATCAGAAATCATTATGTTTATTGTGCAATTATAACGATACGATAAATCAAGTACAACGAGTTTCAAGCCCCGTGGTAATTGAGGCGCCCAAATTTCTTTGTTTTGCGTTTAGTCCACGAATAAAATGTGTTAATTTCAATACAAAATTATAGTTTATTATGGACTTGATAATGCTGTAAAAATTTTGAGTTAGTCCAGATAATGGTACAATTATATGCTGAGCCTAAGCGTTTGGGAATTCATAAATACGAGTACCATATTGTTACGAGCTTGAGGTTCGTGACAATAAAAATTGCCGATAGAATTACCTAAATTAACACTTTAATTCACTTTACACTAATTAAAGTTAAAAACACTAATAATTGATCACACTGATTCACTTTATTCCGCTCCGAAGCTTCGCTTGTTTCGCCAACTTCAATACTTCACCGATCGCACCTTGCAGCGCCTATAAATACACATTAGTACCGAATTATCCAGAACATTCAAGTAAATACGTGCACCAATCGACAAAGCGCCGAAAGTTCGAGAGTCAGCTTCCAGAAGCTTAGTTCTTCGTTTCGACAACAGATGGCGCTGTCGGTTGAAAGATTAGTGATGTTATTTTCTGGAAAGCTCTCCCCTCGCTCCGTTACCCGACACTAGATGGCGCTAGTGCCAGATGTCAACTTAGCCGCGCAACAATATTTTGAAGATATCGTGAATTCCGCTAGTCCGAGATGAATTTTGTTTTAATATATAAAATTTAGCAAAAGAACGTAGGTGTTACAATATTTAAAATATTTGTTAGATGGTATTGACTTTATTATTATTATATTATATTATATTAATTAAAGATAAGTCTCTCTCTTAAGCACTGATGGTGCCGGCGGCAACATATTTTGACGTATCGTCAATTTCCCTTAAAAGTGGTCGAGAAGAGCAATGACTGCCACATGCATTATATTTTTGAACAGATAGGTATACCGGCTTACAATACTTATATTTTTAAATAATTGTATATTTTTTATAACACATTATTATTCGTCTTTCGCTGATTCTTAACCGGTTAGAGCAACCCAATTTTGAAACGGTAGTGGATTTGCAAAAAAAAAAAAAAGACATTTGACAAATACACTTCAATAAATATATTTTTTATTTCGTCTATATTTCCATCCTCGATTAAGAATAAACATGTAGTTTTATGGTTATCCCTGCGGACTAAGATGGAATGCTTCGTTTTATGTGAAAAGGTCTCCGGTTTTTTACACTCACCATACGTAAAAATTATCATGACCTTCAGACCAAATTTTGACCATCGGCCAGTCTGGAGTTCCCTCTTTTTCAAAGTCTAATAAGACGTTTATCCGACAGGACTGGGTTAATCTCTTCCCGTTCGTGTTGGTCTCCGTGTCTTTCTTTCTGTATCCGGCACAGGACAAAAGACTTTACGTGTTTTCCGAGGCAAGGGGCTGATACACCGCCAACTTCCTGAGTCCAGACTGCTACAGAATTTCTTAACAGAAAAATCCTACAACTGATTTCGGCTTGACCGGGAATTTGAATCCTGGACTTCAGAATCAGTAACAGCATTTGGCAGTATTAGGCTGCTATTTTACGCTGGTATAATGTGAGAGCCTGGTCCTTCCTGAGTCTAGCTAAATTATTTGTACTAAAACCATGTTATAGTTACAGCTTGGCTCTCTTAAGGTATGAAAACAAAAATAAACGATTCTGTTAAATAAGCGTTTCAAATGTTGTTTCAAATACCAACAGTAACGCAAGCAATGCGGAATTGATATTCTGTGATAATCGTGATGATAATTTTTTATTCAAAGTCGTTAACGAAACAAACACTTCTGCTTAAACTCAAAGTGACGATATGCTTTTACCTTACTAGGCACAATATCACAATAGCAAAGCGTGTATCAATTTTTCTAATATACTAATGCTGTTTTGAGCCTTGACCTATTATTTATGACGTTTTCATTATTTATATGAATTTTTAATTATAATCGCTAATTTTCTCTAGGGGCAAAAGGAAGTTTTTATTGAAACGTCATGCGAAATTGATGGTGATACCGTGACTCGTGAACAATAGGGGAAGGGCGTTAAAAGCATAGGCTAACGTCAGTCGTAAGTCCGAAGTCACGATGACCTCACGCTCGGTTTTTAAAGTATTGTCCTGCCACGTGACTTCCTAGTAGACAATACGTAACAAGTTAACGCCTGCGCAAACTTTAATGTTTCAATATTTTTCAAAAGTTATTGTGTCATAATGGCGGTTGTGGTTTATTGTTTTAATTTTCCGGTTGTCTCGTAAATACGTCTCAAAACCAGCTATATATATTGCCACATAAAATGAAGTTAATATAAGATAATGGGATTATTTTTCCTGGTGAAAGAATATCTGTGAATGATAATAACAAATAGACATCAAAAATTGTCCAGGATAGAAGTTTACCAACCTGAATGAACATACAATTACAAAAGGAAAGATGTTCCACGCTCCAGTATTTTTACTAATCCTTCTGATTTTGCCAAGACCGTCACAAACGAATCCAGACAATCTAGGTTAGTTGAAATTACTATTATATTTTTTTAACTTTAAAAAAGAACACTATTTTAAATAAAATATTTTACATCATGTTGCGACCGACGCGATAATTTTCAGTATTTTCTGGGCCAGCAATTGCGCAAGACAGGACACACTATAGTGACACAAGTTTACGTGAAAAGAAATTGGTGTCATATTTAAGTGTGATGTTTTTAACATGGGAATAAAACAATATTTTTGCACGAATGTTGGTTTCGCTGTTTTTTGAACCTTGGATTGATGGTTCAAAAAATAGTTTTCTGACGAGTAAGTCACATAAAATGAAAGGGGTTTAGTTGTTTAATTTTAATTCGATTTTGCCTGATTCTCACAGAAGTTAGCATTATTAGCAGTTTTATAAATAGTAAAGCTACGCTATAGCTATGTTATAGCGGAAAAAAAATAGGTTGGTTCACCCGGGGAAGAATCTTACTATCACAAGAATACTAGCCAAAAATAGCAACACGATACCGATATATTTTGTATATAACTGAAAACTGGAAACCCGTTTTACTAGTAAGGAAATATTTTCGTATAAGTCGCGTGACAACACATCTTCATTTTGATTTTGAAAAGGATAGATGTCTATGGGCCATAGCGTCCACTTAACATCATATGCTAATTTAGCACTTATGGCTTTATAGTACCTTCATAGTAAATCGAATGAGGCCATAAGTGCACACGCAAAAATATTGTCACTCTTTCGTCGCCCACTTCTGTACCAGATACAAATTAATAAATACCCAAAAATTATGTACGTTGCGGAAAATTCGATTTGTGTTGAAAAATTGATATTGTAATTCAATTTGTGTTGAAGAGACAAATGAATAATTAAAATATGTATCATTCGTGTTAATGTCTTTGCAATGTCTTATTATTTGTCATAAAAAGAAAGAGTTCGTGAGCGCACACACAACAACTAAAACTTCATCGAAGTTGGATGATATGCTGCAGGTAGGATCGCATACGCGACAGAAACAGAAACTTTTTTATCAATGTAGATGATAACAATACTTATTGAAAGTCATTTTTTTCATTTACCACTGGTTCGCAAAATAAACCTCTATCCTGGGAAGAACCAGCAAGAAACTCAGCGGGATTATTATTTACAATTTACAAACATATAAACATATAATTTTATTGTATAGGTTAACTGGTTATTGGCATTATAACGAGGCTATCGAAACTGGTATATAGACTAATTGCGGTTTTTTTTTCATTTTAATCTTTTTTGTAATCCTTTTAGTAAAATATACAACGTTCGTACTAAACGCCTATAGATATTTTCTATCCGTCAACCCAAAAAAGAACTTTAACAAATAAGAAATGATAATAAAAACCCCTATATTAAGTAACAAAATATTATATATTTATGAGAAAAATAGGATATATATTCCTACACATATATTAACACATACTAATATTTATGCGTATTTTTAATGTATTATGATGGTCTTGTGTCATTTTTCCGCGGTTTGAAAAGGCTAAAGCACTTGTCGCATGTTTAATTAGTTTGTGTATAGGTGAGGCTATTTTACACTCATGCATGGTTTACGAAATTTATTCATTACTAAAGTATTTTGTTATAATTTTAACTGGTTTATAAAATGGGTTCAACAAGCTAGCTTATCACAGTTATTTGAGTATTCATAACCACTAAAGAGCCTTAACACTTAACTTTATACAAATTAAAGTATAATTACAAAAGGTTAAGTGACGGATTCAACATGGCTGGCCAGCATTAAGGAGATTAAGACACATCTTCTCGTCAAGCATACCTCAAAACCTGAAAACAAAATTGTACAACCAGTGCATGTTGCCATTGATGACCTATGGATCTGATTCGTGGTCCTTCACTGCTAGCCGTATGAGGAAGCTCAAGGTCGCTTAGTGAGCTATGGAGAAGATTATGCTTGGAGTTTCTCTGAGTGTTATACTTAGAAATAAGGATATCCGCAATAGAACTGGAGTGGCTGACATAGTTCAATGGATTAGTAAGCTGGCAACAGGCTGGCCATATAGTTGGAAGAACCGGAAACTGAAGGGAAAGAAAGGATCTCAAATGGCAGCCTCGTACTGGCAAGTGAAGTGTAGGGCATCCCCACACTTGATGAACTGACGACCTGGTAGGGCACGCAGGAACTCGATATATGCAGGTGGTTTAGAATCGCGCTTAGTGGCATTCCTTGGGGGAGGCCCATAATCAGCAGTGAACTTAGGAAGGGCTTAAAGGCGTAATCCAGTGAGCTTAGGAAGGGCTGTAATGATGATAATGAGGTAATAGGTTTTTTCAATAGAGACGCTCAAACTTTGAGAGCGTATAGCGGCTATCTTGGTAAAGCGATAGCTACTAAATTTAACAAGAACACTTCTGTAGTCTTGAGTTTTCAACTTCCTACGCT